AGCCGACGCAGCGTCTAGGAACAGCGGTCTACGATCTACGTCTACGATTTCCGGCCAAAAGAGAGACCCACTCCCTCCATTGACAAGCATAATAAAAATCGACGTTTTTCCAGAAGAGGGTTACACTGACTAAAGCATGCGCAAGTACTTGCCTAACAGAAAAATATTTTTCGATGATAACTCTTTAAGGCACACGATTTAAAATAAAACCAAAACTCAAGGTGCAAAGATAGGTAGTGGTATACATATAATCATATGTATTGAACTGATTGTACTGATTACCGATTGTATTAGGTAGACTGGAAAGTAATGTCGTTTCTTTTACATTAAATTCAAACGAATTTTTAATAAATTTCTATTTCAAAGCAATTATGTAATCGTCCTCGTTATCAACAACCTTATGCCATCTAGTGTGCAAATTTTCAATGCCAGATCGATAAAAATCAATAAGCTGAGGAGTGAAAAAACAAATATTTAAAATTGCAAAAACGACATTATTTTCCAGTCCACCTGATATACCGTGTGTCGGTCTTTCGGGAGCGAAGAAAGCTCCATTGAGGTCTGTGGCGTCTGAGGATGGCCAATCCACCCCTAACTGATAGCCTGAGTGTCACGAATCGCGATACCGATTCATGCAGGTGCAGACTAGACCACGAAAGAACGCCTATGTTCCAAACAGCTAGTCATCGCCGTCCGTCTCCGCCCCATCGGCCCAATTCTATCCGGAACATCGTCCTTCTAAAATACAAGTAAAAAGAAGCGGGTTACACCGACTGGGCTACGTGTGTGAGGACGTCTACCGTGCGTAAACCATTTACGTAACGGCAAGATACGCCGTATTTCGATGATTAACAATTTGTTTTGCGATCGGCAAAGGTGACTCTTTGTACGACACAAATACCTTACGTAAGCCGCCAGATAAATGCGTATATGCAATCGGACATTAAGCGTTCCGTTTTTCGAGTTTCTGCGTCGCTTTCCACCGTTGAACCGGACACGAGGATCGCGGTTACTATTCGCCAAGGGAAATCAGCGTGAATTGGATTCGCGATTACAACGCGATTGTCGACGCCACCGATGGGACCCCCGGTCCAGTGACGTGTCTACTAATGCAGATACGTATCAATTCCCAGAGATCCTATTATATACTGCTAAACTGATATTACACGAAATTATCTTCAATCCTATTTGAAATCAAATTTCAAATGGAATTAAATTCGGTTTGTCATACAAAAGTGAGGATCGATCGTCAATTGTTAATTGCCTTTTGTGCAAAATATAATTCCCAATGATTGGCAGATGTCACTTGGAAAATATGATTTTAGTTGAAATATGTTTGCCAGATTATCGGAATTTTATTGTATTTAAATCTTCGAATAAGAATAGAAGTTGTGGACCACCCTATTAGCAAACATTACCAAACATTATCAAACACACGTATTGTATTTTTATAGTCCTTGCGAAGCCATATCGAGACTCGAAGTTTACTAGTCTGTTTACAAGTTTTTGTTTCCTAGACAGTTTCTTACTAATTAATGCGCCAATGCTACAGCTGTTCGCGCTAATTTGCGAACGCGGCGAAAGTAGCTGTCGGCGGTGTCTGCGCGCTGACGAAAAACGTGAGGAAATGAAGTCAATTAGGGTTAGCTATGCACGACGGCGGATTTTTACAGCAGAAAATTGAAGGCTTTGTTCGTTCGGATGTTTCGCGTTGCTCGAACCTAGCGACCGTGTTTACGAGCGCAAGGAAAACTGGGTAGTGCAGGAGGCCAGGATTCATTAAGCGCAATTACGCTTGTAAGTTATGACCAGAGGTAGAAGGTTAGAGCTTTCCATGTCGTAGGTTTGACGAACTGAGAAGGAGACTGACGTCATAAGCAGTCCACACTCGGATTGATCAAAGTAGATAGCGAATATTTTCTCGACGTCTACTCGCGACATTTCGCAAGCAGTAAACGTGAACGATGAAAGACAGGATTGTAAATTCTTCGGTCAGTCGGATAAAAATTGAACGAAATCGATGATGTGTCGTATATTTAAACGTTGATTAAAGCAGACCAGGGCAAATTTTATTTTTACATGAAAAGAAGTGGTAAACTATTGAAATACTATTTATATGCTGAAAAACTGTTTGAAATAATTTATTTCGTACTGTTATTTTCAATACGGTTATTTGAAAATAAAAATAATATCGGTCTTTTTGAAATAATAGTTATTTCAAATAACGAACTATTTCGTTATGCTCTATGTCAAATGTAATTATAACATTTCAAATTGTGTTATTGTAAAAGTGATCACAGGTTTGAAAATGACTAAAAAATAAGATAATGTATTATTTCATTTTATAGTTATTTGAAATGAAATTATTTTCAAAGGTCTGGATTAAAGTTTATCGATTTTCTACCGAAACGAAGATCAAGGTGATTGAACGAGTTCCACGGACACCGTGGAGTGATGTTCGTGCTTTGTTTGCGGAGAGATTTAAAGGCGTGAAACGCTTAGATAAACGGCAGAGTTGCAAACTCCAAGTCCAGACGATCGCCAGCCGATCGACGCGCACGTCAGTGCAGATAAGAGTCGCTGATTAACTGATAATTGGTTGCACACAGTATTCACAAAACATGTTTACGAAAATCTCACTTTGCCAATTTCTTGAAATCTACTTAAGGGCTATTTTAGTCTAGTGCTTTGTTATACACACCAAATTTTCTCACTTCTTTTGTGAAATTCTGCATACGTTTATCTTTTCTCAATTTTCAACCAAAATTGAAGGGATGTACTCTTTTCAGTATTTTCTTTTAGCAGTTCCTTCCTTTGAATTCGTTTTTACAAAATTAAATATAATTAATTCACATCTAAATACACTTAATAATTTACTTAAATGTTTACATCTACTTATAGCATTTTTGAAGTCTCTAAAGATTGGCCTAAATGTAACTACCTAACCACGAGGGGCAGGTGAAGCGAATGAAAGAAGCAGCCCACGCGAACAGCGACGATCGCCGTGAAAATTCATTTCTACGCGACGCGCGACACGTGTAATAGCGCGACGTAGTAATTAATAAAGGAATTAATCATGCGATAAGTAAGTAGGCGTTCGAGACGTGTGTTTTATCGTTACGAGTAAAACTTTGATTATTCGATGTATTACAAGCGATTATAATCAGAAAATGCAATTGAGAAAGTCTTGCAGTCCTTCGCAAGTTGAATGGCAATAAATAATCGCTTTGGTATTCTATTTTCCTCATCCGTAATGCAGCAGAATTGCGTAGAACGTCGACTGTAAGAAAATCTGTTATTAGAAGAAACAAATCGAACCCGTGTAATATCATAAATTTGGAATTGTACATGTGATATCGTCTTTCTTACTTATTATTCTCGTGTATTTATTCTATGTTCTAATATTTTGAATAAAGTCTTTGAATAAATGAACAAATTAAATTTTTCTCAAGTAAAATATACGGTGAACAAATGATGAAGATATGCATTAATTATATTTCAGACGATCTTTGTCATTTACTGAAGCTGTACGTTACGCTAAATATCAATACTGAGGTGATTCATAGTTAGTTCGATTTTTTTAGTATTTCTTTTTCGTGAATATTTTTACCGAAACGTTTGCGAGAGTTCGCTTCACTCGCGTACGATTCATTTTTACGTTATCGTGCCACCCTTCAACGAGAATGTACATTCTTATATAATGAATGTCATTCGATGAAAATATCTGTCATATTTTTCTATCACAAAGTTTTTGCTTTCATTTTTGTGGAATGATTATCGGAAATGTTTTTTCTCCCTACTAATTCTGATAATAGATGTTTTATTGTATAGACAATACTGAGCTGTTTTACGTAACTAGTGAAGAGAAAGAGAAGTACGTACGTAGATTGTTTATTTTGGCACAGGCGTATTACGTATACGACACTAATCGACTCCAAAGACTATAAACAGAGCACAAAGGGAAATCTAATTATTCCAAATGTGCGAGGCCACGCTGAATTCAGTTATTCAACGTTAAAACGCACAAACTTTTGGAATTTCTAAAATTTTCATGATTTAGGACGCGAAATTTAAAAAAAAAAAAAGAACGTAAACCTTCGAAATTCTTGTTAAAAATGTACAGAAGCACAGCCAATAATTATATTGCTATAATTCGCTTGTTATTAAAGCGAAGTAAGTCCAGTTTCTTGATAAACAAAATATTTAGGAGTAATACTTAAAAAAAACATGTTGATTAGGTCCATAAAAAAGTTTCAGCGTCAACGAGGTAATATTTTATCGTGATTATGTGCTAAACAGAATATAAAAAAAAAACCCATTATGGAAAGGATGCGAATCCCAAAATACGAATAATTTATTAACGTTATATTCCTGGACTCACAAGCTTAGCAAAACGTAAGGACGTAATGGACTTACTGTCGGAGACACAAGTGAAAAGAATAATCATATCATCAAAAAACAACATTAAAATTATAAAATTTAACTTTACATATACACATATACATATACACAAACTACAATACATTAGCTCTTTATGCTTGATAACATTTTTCCTAGGGCAAACTAGCAATAAAAACGATTTTGTGAGTATTTGTCGTACTTCTTACAGATTAAATAAAATCAATGAACATAAAGAAATACATATTTTATTTGAATATTCTATGTTTCTTTACAACATAAAAAACAAAAGATTTTAATTATAAACATTGTGGTTTTTCATCAAAAGGTATAATAATATAATTCACGAATCTATTATTATACATGAGATTTTATTATAAAAATCTATCTTTACACGTCTGCAAACATATTAAATCAATAAAGACTTCAGTAACAAGTGTCTGTTAGGTCAACTAATGGCTGGAGACGTTATAAAATATGGAATAAAAGATCTCGTCGCTGTTTTAACGTGCACCATTCTACGCTTTCTAAAAGAATCTATAAGGAACATAGAAATCTATTCATAGACTGATATTGTTATCAACATTTCGAAGTTCAACGAAGACTCTGCTGCCTCTCAGTCGTCGGTTGAGTCACCGCGTAAAACCCAGTGGCGACTGAGAGTCGCTCTCCGAGTGCAAGAAGGTTAAATCCACATCCAAATGGGATCGAATAATTTGTAAACAGTTCCATTTTCCACAGACGCAAAGACAACATTTTCCATTCTCCAGATCATGTATCATACTTATCTTCGTCAACGATGAAACTATTCAGACATTCTGAAATAGTCGGTAAACAGGTCGACGAGCACGCACAGTCCAAAGTAGAATGAACCCTCGATATCGTGCGCGCGCGTTACATCTGACGCGTGCTGGCATCATCTCCTGCCGTAGGACACGCGCTCTCGTGGGCACGAGAGTGCATCGGCTGCACCGCGCAAACGTGGCCAGTAGACAAGTGCGTAGAGAGTGCGTCTGCGTAGTCAGCTGCCGGCGATGCATACTCGCTCACGCATGGCACACGACGAGGGAAGCAGCGCACGCAGGTCTGGTCCCTCGATGCCGGGTAAAACGGAATACCGCGACGTAGAGCAGGCAACGTTACTGCTCATGCTCAGTAAGATTCCTAGAGCCCGGAGAGCCCGAGGCTCGCCCGTGGAATAATTGATCCAATCGAAACTCGACTCGCTCCCGCCACGTTTTGTGCACCGACGCGAGCTCTTTATGTAAGCTCCCAGACGGTCGCGCATCCCGGTTGCTTCGTCCGCGAGTTCCCGACGATAAGGCAGTGCGTTGCCGCGTTTCAAGAAGGGGGAATCCCGTCCCTTCGACGATTCCACTCGGCGAGTGGATCAACCACCGATCGAGCACAGACAACGCGACGGGAGGCAACAACAAGTGTCCTGATTGAACGATTCACCGACCCTCTGCCGGCTGATCTGGTCGCTTGCCACGGCCAGCAACCTGTTTACCGTAATTTTCCGTGAAAGTTTACGTGCCCGCTACCCCCGGCGTAGCTTCGTTCTTCGTTTCAAGGACGGCTCAGCTGCTGGCTACCCCAGAAGCGCGGGTAGCTCGCGTCAGGACGCGCGGACAGGCGACGCCGCTCGATACCCTCCGCCGAGCCTGTTGATACTCGGAGAGTATGTCATCCGCGAGATGAACGGGACACGTACCGTTCGCCGCGGAACAAAGGAAAACGCGATGAACATTCATCGATCAGCCTTGCGGCGACGCTCGACGGACAGAAGACGACGCTGATCTTTGGACAGGATAACGGAGAACGTCGACAAACAATGAATTCGTCCAAACTTCTGGACCGTTACTCGAAACTCGGACGGTACGGCGCCAAGTGGACCGAGGGGATGATCTGAGGGAGAGGAGTGTCCTGATAACGTCGACAGGGGAAAGACATCGGGTTAAGGGAGGATCTACATCGTGGCAGGATGACTCCACGGTTAATCTACGTAACCGGGGGGTGTGGCTTGATACCGTCGTACCGTCGCACACGTAGAACGTAGAATCGTTGACACAGTCACAGTCCGTGGTATCATGAAACAGTTGGCGAAGTAGACGCAGCGAGAAGTCGAAGGTGTGTGTACCGTCGCGCGGCGCTGCCGTCGCCGTTTGGCTTGCCACCACGGTTGTACCGACGCCGTCGCCACCACCACCTCCATCGCAACCCCGCTCGCTGCCCGGTTGGTTTACGTTTCTGACAGTGGCCCGAGCGAGCGGTGACAACCGAGGCGGCAGTCGTCAGTGCGCCGTCGTGCTGTGCATAGCAGCTGTGTCTGGCGTGCTGCTGTTCGCCGTGAATTCTACTTACCGCGTGGCCGGCCAACTGTCAAACGTGTTCGACGAATCTACTTATCGAACCCGAAGCTTCGGATAAAAAGCTCGCGGCCGACGTTCTCGTATCGCAGTGAAGTGTTTTCCTCTCATCGGGACGTGGCTACACGGAGGAGAAAAGGAATCGATACGATCGCCAGTTGTTTTCTGTTCAAATGTTCCAAAAGTGTACCGTTTCTCTTCTCTTTTCTTATTTATTTATTTTTTCTTTTTAAATAACCAATGAAATAAAATGCGCGCCGCGTCGATGTCTCGAAAACAGTTGACAGGTGGATTCTGTCTCGCGGTTTACCCCGCGATCGACGTGAGCGCGTAAATATCGGAGCCAAACCAGGCTCGGAAGGGGAACTTCGTCGAGGGGTGGCTACTGTTTATCAGCAAAGATGACCGAGTTAGCGCAAGAAGCGTTCGCCTCGCGCAACTATCGGCTGGCCGTCGAGATGTACGAACGAAGTTTAAAGCACCAGAGCGCCAGTTTCGAGATGCTGATTGGTTACGGGGACTCGTTGGCCAAGTGCGGACGGATCAGGGAGTCCATAGGGGTTTACTCGAGGTGTTTGGCGGTAAGAACCATGCCAACCGAAAGACTGAAGCATCTGGCCAATGCTCTCCTGGAGGAACTGGCCGGCGTTGCGGCGTCTACGAGCTCCAGAAGAAAAATCGAGACGTCCTTCGCGTGTCCTTTCTGCGAGGGTACTCTCTGCCAGCCGGTGACCACGAACTGCGGTCATACGTGTTGCAAGAATTGCGTGGAGCTGGGCAAAAGCTGTCGCGTGTGCGGACAAAAGATCGTCGCCGTGGGTGAGACCAACGTGCTTGTTCAGAGGCTCGTGGAAAAGTGGTGGCCACGCGAGGCGGAGGCCAGTCGAGCTAGACACGAGGGTGACATCCTTATGAAGGAGGGCCACCTGGCTCAGGCTCTCGAGAGGTACAACCTCGCGGTTCATCTCGGTGAGTGAACATTCGCGCTTATTTTCTTATCGCGTGTCTGGAACTCGAAACGTCTGCGCGGACATGACATGGGTTTGTGCGCGCATTCGAGGATCTTTGTTTCAAGTATTATTTACTGCTAATCGATGTTGACGTTCGGTTGCCTGACATCGAACAGGCGGGGATGCTACCGATTTCTCGGCGTACTTTGGGGAAAAGTGTGCGATCGTCTGGACTTTTGTTTCTTTCATACAGCTATTCTTAACAATTTTTTGACGGCGGATCGGTTTTTATTGTTTTTAAAAGCGTTATCACATTTTGAATTTAGTTTGAAACAAGCATCGGTACGAATGTCGCTTTCATCTATTATCGATTTGAAAATCTTGCATTTTAGATGTATGTTTATTCTTTACTATATTATATTCGAATAATACATACTCGAATCATTTCGATCATATTTATATTTAAACTTCTGCTCGTTTGGAGTTGAATCTTTCTTTTTGTCGTATTTGTGTCTTAAGAGGAGAATATAGAATTCTTGTTGGTATAATTATTCAGGATTCGGAACCTGTGCTGTGAGGTTAAAAAGATTAAGAACCACCGGTTTAGAAAGATCGCTCCAACGCTATTTAAAGGGCGGTTTGTATTTTCTTAGGAAAGTAGAACTCGTTATGCTTTCCTTTTTGTTTTTCAATGTAACAAGGTGTACGGCGAGATTCGATTCGCGAACAGGAAAGTTCGATCGAGCTACGAAATTCTCGTCGGGGATTACAAAGTAGTTACATAAAGATCATTACGAAACAACGAATCCGGATAACATTACGAACCGCAGAAGATCGAATTAATTTGCATGTACCGATTTCAATGATAGAAAAACGTAGCCTCGGTTACGAACGATTAAATTTTATCGTCGTCTAATAAGCGAGAAGTTTGAAACGCGTCAGCTGTCAACGAACTACAACGGTAATCCGGATTCTTTAAATTGGACAAAAAATAGGCTCTGCTACGCGAATGGTATTCCATTCAAATGTTCATATTTACTACGCTCGAACTCGTCTGATAATGTTATCCGTTTTTATCTGTCAGTCAAAGAAAGTTTTTTGCTGCGTTTCTGGTTTTTATGAACAACATCGACCGTGAATACGGTCGATCCTCTTTGTCTCGTTCGTAAAAAAGGCAAGAAGGCCTCGTACCTCTTTCCTTGAGTTTATGTAGCGGTCGAGTTTTTGTCGTGCAGACTATTTTTCCTTTTCGGCGGTTTCTCTGAATCACCTGGTGTTTTCGAAAACATATTTTGGACGAAACGTGTCAACTAGTTAAGCATATTTTTCGCAACACGATTGTACAGGAATTGGGCATGTTTTCCTCGTTGCGAGACTGAAATTCATTTTAAGTTAATTTTAATTTCAAATATCGATGGTCTCGTTTGTTCTGACTGATATTCGTTTCAAGTCTTCGAAGGAAGATAGTTTCAACTTCTAGGAATTCGTACCGTCTTGTTATTATTGCAAGTTTTATAAAGAATTTCAGCAAATATACGTTCAAAGAAAACTTGAACAATAGATAAGACTGCTTATTGAGTTTATAAAATATTTGTAAGGAATATTTAATTATATTTGTTTTAATTGGAAACAATTGTATGTTTAAAGAAGTACTCCGTTTGAATCGGTTCAAAATAGTATCTCAAGGAATATAGATTTTGGATACAGTGAATGTTTTGTTCAGTATTTTCATTATTTATGCGAACCGCTGGGAATAATAGTACCGTAAACTTTAACCAAGTTCAAATATTCGGTTACCTCCATATTCTTGTTTTTGACATTAGATAACACGTTTCAAGTTCTATTCTAAGTGCTTCAAAATTATATTCAAACTGTTACGCAATCAGAAAATTAATGCGAAAATTAGAATAGGTTTGGAGTGTGTTTCGTAACGTTATTTTTACATAGTTTTGCATGTTAAAGATTAGTCAAGTTTGCTAGCAGCTTATTACGTAAAACTACGTAAACCAACAACTGAATAATAGTGTCAATATCCTCTGCAAAAAATATACACATATACCATTTGTTTCCAAACCACACGTTCCCAAAAAACGATTAGTCGTATAACTACAAGCGATGAACGCATAGGTATTACATTCAAAGGATTTACTTTTAAGATTTTGGTTTATAAGAAAGCACGCCTGTCGCCGTTGTCGTGATGGACACTTAATTTTTCGAGACACGCGATTTAAAATAAAAATAAAACTCAAACTGCATTTTATTCCTTATTCAGCTCCAAAATTATTTACTTGCTCATAATAAATTTTTCAGGAAAAAGAATATTTACCCCTACGAAAGATAATAAATTTCTCTTTTCATTTATTTAACGTACACGACTATGAGTGATTTCAACTTTTTGAGATGGATTACAAAATAAACCAACATGTATGAAAAGCCAAGCTAAAGATGGGATAGTTTAACCTACCTAACTCGAAATGTGTTAAATGACATCACCTGTCACGATCAATACTAATCATGTGCACTTTTATATAAAATTGGAAATATTTATTCGATACCATCTTTGATTGAATAAAAAATGAAGTCTTGGAGGTATCCCAAATTGCAAAACCGTTTACTATATATTTAACATTATTCGGAAGGGGCCAGATCAGTATAATTAGTTTTCTATCTCAATAAAAGACCCAACATTTCGGTAAAAACATTGTTAATACTAGTTTCAATAAGAAACTCGAAGTATTTAAAAGTCAAATTGATTTTCTTGACACTTCTCTCGTTAATTACCTACTTCCCTCCAAAAAAACAAAAACCGAATACCGAAGAAACTGCTCCAAAGCGCGCGCAATGCACCGTGGTAGGAACGCATTCCAAGGACCCCGTGTGCTCCGGGCAGATAAAGCGAGCCTGCACCGGGCAGGTAAAGCGATTCCCTCGATCCCGCTGGAAAGAATAACTGAATCGATCGCATTCCGTCTTCTCCCTCTTCGCTGCATGCCGAGTGCACCGAACGGGCGCCTCCGCGTAGAAAGGGAGGCGGCTGCGTTCGAACGCGAAGACGACGACGTCGGTAAGTTCACGGCCAGTCTGAGTCGGTTCTTATATAACGCTTCGGGGGAGACAGAGAGAAAGAGGCTCGGGGATAGCCGAGTGAGAGCCCAAGATTATTCCGAACGCCGCGGCCGTGGCGGACCCGCTCGGTGGGACACGGTGCATGTACCGAGAACACAAAGACTTCACTGGGATCTAGCGAACCGAGCCGAACCGAACCGAACTCTCGCGCGCACTCGCCACGGGAAATCTAGCGCGTCGCGTAACACGTTCGCTCCAACTGAACGCGGCACGTGCCGCCAGATATGCTTTCCCACACGGGTTCCGATTCCATCTCGAAACGGACGCTTTTCCGAGGAACATCTCGAATTTTCCGGAAGTTTAACCTACAGTGGGTGTAGAAAATATTCGTACACCGAGCAATTTCCAAAAAAAAAAAAAAAAACTATGTGAACTCTATAATTTGTTAACTTTTTTCTTTTATAAACAATGATATTCTGCATATTCTTGGAAATGTCTAGAATAGATACAATAGAAAGAATTTGCTTGAATAGAAATTTTTAAAACTTCATTAAAAAAAAAGAGAAACAATATTTACATTAACTTGTAAATAATTAATACTTGGTGGGATTTCCTTTTGATTTTATAATTACCGCAACTCTTCTAGGCATTAAATTAATTATCATAAATGTCGATGTTATTCGGGGTGAGATCTTCTTTCATTCCTGTATTACAGCATTTGTATTCTGAACAATTACAATACGCATTATGTTGAATTGCGCGATAATATAAAGTTTTCGTTGTAATATTCACGGTATTCAACTAGCTGATATTTGACCAACTAATTTTAACGAACCTATACTAAATTATTTTCTAAGCGAAACACCTGCACTCTATGCGTTGCAAAATGATGACTGTAACGTTGATTCGTAACCGAGGGGAAAATGAGCATCGCGCGATGGCAATTTACGATAACGATTTGTACTTAAAAGGGAGAGAAAAACTGCGGTGACTCATTCGACGCGAGTTTGTAACTGCCTTTTGAAACGAAATGGTGGAAAAAATCTAGGCACTGAGACTTATAATTGCTGGCAATATTGCGCGCTCTGGTAGTTGCATGGTTACTAATGATTGATTTGTCATTGTCTAAGAGTTATACAATGTTCCCATTAACATTTTTGTATTCTGCATTGGTCTATTCGTTCAATCTTATCCTGTTATATTAGCGTTCCCTTATCCTCTAGTTCTCTGAGAAATTTTGTTCATTTAGAAGTGTCTCGCTAAATGTTAATGAATTTAAATATACATAATTCAGAACAAAAAAAGAGTCCATTTAGAAGTGGATTGTTTCAGTTATAGTTATTACGATTTTATAATACAAGTAGAAATTTTGGTCAATATTTTAAGGCACGAAATATTGTTATGTTATTTTATACAGAACGTGGTATTTATATTATTGTAATACATGCATCTTTTAAGATGATCAAGCTTCGTCACAATTATTGCTGGTGATCTCCAATTTCCTAGTAGATTGTTCACTTCAGTCTACTGTAAATCCCTGCATAACACTTTTCTTTCAATTACGTTACATTGGAAAACAACTGGTACAACTTTTTCAATAATTTATAGTTTTCATAGAAATATTGAAGTAAGGGATAAAATGTAATATTTAATTACTAATGACTTTCATCTTTATAATTAGAAGATACACAGGTATTCTTCTCGCAATAACATATCAAAATGTACATGATCTTACTAACAACATTCTCCAACAACGATCTGAAATAATGTTCAAGCGTTGAATCCATTATTTTTTTTTTTTCACGATTGACTTTCAGAAGTGAGGATTTTTATCATTTTGAAAATATTATTTTTTCAACCTATATTTACTAGGATTTTCTATCCTCCATTTAACGTGTACTATTTGCTTTGAAAGTTCTGAACCCTTTTTCTTTAACACCCTATACATACATG